ATGGTCCCACCTCTCCAGCCTGTCCAAGTCCAGTCCCTTTCCTCCAGCATGTCGACTACATCACATAGCTTGGTGCCATCAGCAAACGTGCTGGGGGTGCTCGATCCCACTGTCCATGTCACCGACAGAGATGCTAAATAACACTGGTCCCAGTACAGCTTCCTTAGGGACACCACACGTCACTGCTCTCCACGCAGAAATGGAGCTGTTATGTTGCACCACCTAGCGGCGCTGTGCAGTGAACTCCTGCCCAGGCTCCCGGGTGCCTTTGCCGGTGCCTTTGCCGTTGCCTTTGCCAGTTGCTGCGAGGGGCCGCGGCTTGCACAGGCAGCGGCGACCACACCCCTATCTCATTGGTGCTCTCACAGTCATTTATCTTTTCGTTCACGGCAGAAATCAGAAGGCAAATCGGTTGTTTTATTTGGGAGCAGGCGGGCGATTCACTGGCAGAACAGGTAAGATGAGAAATTGCTACTACAGGTGTAGCTTAAATAGATCAGTGGGTGTATGAGCTTCAGGGAGCCTGGTTTTCACCCCAGCCCCTCAGCCCAAACACAGGATCAAATCCTGTGCTTGCTGCACCACGTGTGTCCGTCCCAGCATGACACCCCGGGGGACAGCACCAAGATCGAGTGTGGGATGTGCAGGAAGGATTTTCTCCCTCATCCAGAGAGATGTACCATCTCCCAGCACGTCTTTCTGGGAATGCTGATCACAGAGGTCTGAGCTCAGCCCTTCGTGTGGCATTTCCCTTCCCCTTGTAGCCCCAAGGTGCTGCTCTCATCTCAAAGCAGCTCCTCAGTCCTTTTGAAGCAAAAAACGTGTTTAGCTTTAAAACTATTCTACATTATGCTTGAGTTCACGAGTCCAAAACCCACCACACTGGGCCCGTGGGGCTGCTGCTCTGCTGGGTCTCAGCACAGTTTTAACTCCACCCTGTGTTGATACTCACAGCCCAACAGGAATCTGACAGACAGACCGGAGGCGGCAGGAACAGGCAGGGAGGAGGAAGAGGATGAGCACGTGCTAGACCTGACTCAAAGGTACTTTCCTGCCCTCAGGGGTGGGATTTGGGGTCGTCTCACCCAAATCTCAAGAGAACCCCGAAAAACACACCAGAATTTTTTTCTTCCTTGATACAGCAGTGAAGAAGAAACAGACCCCACAGCACCTGAGGGGGAATGTCCATACCGTGTCCTGCACAAGTACCCAACGAATAACATGGTGACAGGTAACAATCGTAGAATCACAGAAGGGTTGGGGTTGGAAAGGAACTTAAGCTCATCTAGTTCCAACCCCTGCCATGGGCAGAGACACCTCACACTACAGATATCCCTGGAAATTGGGAATGTCCCTGAAAACAGTTGCGGATGAAGCAGGGACCCTCGTGTGCCCGGTACTGACAGCAGTGCAACTGCTGAGGGTGTGGGTGGCTCCGCTCCCTTTCAGTTTGTGTCCTGGTTTCCTCGGAAGGGGGCGGCTCTCCCGGTACTTCCTCTCCAGCAGTACCTCCTCTAAGGAGTTCCCTTCACAGGCTATGCCTCCGCTCGGGACATGAGGAAGTACGTCGGGGAGCTCCATGATTTCATTCCCGGCACCTCGGGCTACGCGGCATATTGGATTAAACAAAAAATCAGCATTTTCACTGATGCGAAGACCCGAATGAAGAGGAAATTGTAAGTCATGGACGGCTGTTCAAGTCAAGAACTCCAGTAAGAGCTGCGAGAGAGCTACTGCTTGTGTTTGGAATGTCATTCCCATGGTTGAGCTGCACGGATGCCTCCTAGCTCACACCCTCCTGTGGATTAATGGTTATTTCACCTGTCCGTCTGTTCTCCCCGTGTTTCAGTTCAACAGCAGAGATTGGTGGTTCTGAGCTGTCCAACTGCAAATTCTGAGCTAAAGCTCCACATCATGCAGGGGGATTTATCAATTATCCTGCTTGGCTTATCCTGCTGCAGCCCGGCACACTCAGGGTGTATGTCAATACCTGGCTTCATTCACTGGCAACACGTTGTTCTTTAAATAACTGTTTAAGATAAATTTCACAGTAAACTTAAATACAGACATTTCTCCCCCAGACACAAACCCTTTGTCTTTTTATTTGTACCGGGGGGGGGGTGTGGGGTGTTAAGATATGGCTGCAAACACACCTTCACTGCAACAGTGAAGCCTTGCTGCCCCATGGCCCAGCTGCACCCACCCTGCCCAGCGTCCTGCTGCTAGAGACCTGCAGGTCTTTTCCACCTCCACACAGAGCCTCTGCACAGTGGGAATTTCAGGGCAGTGAATCTCCAAACTCTTCCATGCCTTTCACACCCTAGGGAATTGTTGTATGGAGCATCTTGCTGCAGGAAGACCAACACAAGCCTCAGCAGGGCCCACACAAGGAAGCTGCTGACCTGGCCACAGTGCTCTGCTCAGCCCAGTTCACTCCCCTCACTCGGAGAACCAGCAACAAACAGTTTTTCCTTTCATTTAAGCACTTAAAAGCAACCGGTGCAGTTATGAAAAGCAATTCTGGCAAAGAATGAGAGAGGGTCCGCTCCGTGGAGGCACAGGCAAACCCTGGGGTGCTGAGGGTGAGGAGCTCTGGGAATCTCTGAGAAGCCACCATGGTTGTTCTCTTCCAAGAGCAGGAGAGCCTGTAAAAGAACAACTGCGCACCTCAGCCAGAAACAAACTCAAAAAGATGCTGGCAAACACAAAGGTGTTGAGTCCTCCTCATCCAGACACCCATATTTGAGACACGGCGTCACAAGGAACCAGCCCTCCCTCCGCATCCCAGGGAATGCAGGCTTCCAGAGACCAGGCAGGGTGGTTTTCCCACGTTTATTGGAAAAGTGACACACAGCGACCGACTCAGAGCGCTCCTCGGGGCGTTTTGAAGTTCATCCCCACTGTGGGCTGCGTCACCTGCAGGTTGGACAGGCTGCCAAAGTCCTGGAAAACAGGGATTGGGATCAGTGACACTGCCCTGTCGCCATCCACATCCAACCCCACCGGGAAGAACAGAAAGTGTGAATGTGCTGTGGTAGCACAAAGGGTGGATTCCTGTCTCCAGGAAGAAGGAGAGATGATCACCCCGCCCCGGAGATCAGCTCATGGGTGAGGGGAAGCTGGACTTTTCACCCATGTTCATCTTCACCCAGGAAGAGCTGAGAAGAAGGCCCTCGGGTCAGCACCCCAGGGTGCTGCAGAGGAGGGGAGGGAAGGAGCACACCCACCCTTACCCTACTGGTGGGGGTCTGGAAAAGCCATCATCCCACTCCCCTGCTGCCTGCATGTACCAGGGCAGGGGAACCACTCACCAGGAGCTTTAGCATTTCCTTGGTGTCCGGATCCACTTCGATGATCTCCTGGTCGAGGGCAGAGACCTGGGGACAGAGAAGAGACAGATGCAGTTTGATGAGGCCCCACAGCCATGTCCCTGTTGCCACCCAGGTGTCCCTACATGCCCACCCTGGTCCTTGTCCCACCACAACAAAAATCTCGCTGCCTGTCATGGGGAAGGGCTCCAGCAACAGAAGCAGCCAGAAGGATCCCAGTGAGTCCAGCTCTCCCAGCAAAACACCGAGGGGCCACCTGGCAGCAGAGCACCCCGCGCAGGGGGAAGAACCTCGTTTACAGCTCTTCTTTGGCAAGCCGAGGCCCAGCCGGCTCCGCACCAATGCTGCCGAGAGCCAGGGTCAGCTCAACTGCACCGGTCCCAGTGGTCACCACTGACACTTGCACTTGTCCTGTGACACAAGTGAGGCTGGAGCCAGACCCCTGTGGTGCCAAACAGCTACACCGAGTGACCACCAGGCCTGTCCCACCCCAAGGACCCAAGATCTTCTGCTTTTTAATCCCAGAGCAACCTCCTGCAAACCTTTCACACCCAAACCCTTCATCTCCATGTGCTTCCCTCCCCAAAAGGCTACATCACACCAGTGGTTTTTTAAGAAACCACAAACAACACAGGTTCAGCTGCTGCTGCATCACCAGCTACAGCACAGACCCTGCCTGGGGCCCCTCCAGGGGTTACCTCTCCCCCCAACACCACGCTGTCCTGCCTCCCAAACTTAGCTGGAAGGTCTCTGTGTAAAACACTGCCCTCAGCTGGTCCTCCAGGCCCCCGACAGCAGCCAGGCAGCTCAGCACTGTGCTGACACCTAAACCTGGGGTGCTGAAGCATGTGGGAGAGGATGTGCAGGTGCTCCCACTGTTTCATGCATTGTTTGTAGCCACTGAGAGTCAACCAGGCCCTGGTCTCTTGAGGAGAGCTGCCACCTCCCCCTGGGCCATGAACCACAGCAGCAAAGCAGGGAGGGTGCTCCTGGGGCAGATCTCCAAGGGGGAGGCAGCACCACACTGTCACACTCTCATGACATCCCACCATCATCCCTCTTCTTCCCAGACCCTCACCGAAACAATCTTCCATGTAAGTAAACCCCAGCACTGGCAGTTTGGGAGAGCTGAGGTGATAGGTCCAAGCATTTGGGGCAGCAGAGAAACCAGCAGCTCCACTAGAAGCCAATCAGGCAGAGCTGGAAGAGGAGCTCTGTGCCACAGCTGAAGGGCTTGGGTGCAGTGGGACTGAACCCATTGAACAGAGAAAGACTTTTGGAGCTCCTCTCCCTGAATGATCACCAACGGGCTCACAGGCAGACCCTGACCCCTTGTGAGTACAGGTTTCAAAGAGGCGGTTTCACCAATCCCCTCTCTGCAACCACATCTGCTGTAGCAGGTTCCAACCACTCTTAAAC